AGACAAGCCTACAGTACTGAAACTGGAATTGTCTTGTCAGGTACTTATATATAGAGAGGGACAATAAAGGCAGCTATGTCTGTAGGGTGGGAAATTTCTTAGGAACAAACTTGAGGTTAGCTAACTACTCAAATTAATGCTTAAAATTAAAAAAAAAATAAGGAAAAGAAACAATTAATTAAATGTATATAAAATTAAGGTTAAAATGCTATTTTAATATTTATTATTTCACTTATTTTATTTTAAATATCTATAGTTTAAAATAAATATTTTTAATCCATATATATTTATCTTTTTCAATCATTTGTAGTTATTATACATCTTTTAGTTCTTATACTTACAATTTTTTTTAATTTCTATAATTTTTTTTTGTAATATTATCTCTTTGGTATTGATATGATCATAAAGATATTAATTAAACTTTGTGTATTTGTCAAATTTATCTTATTAAAATTATTCTAAATTAGATCTATTGATATTTCGTAGTTATTTTATATTTTCACTTGGAATGTTCATTGTTAAGACATTCTTTTATGTTTAAAAAAATAAAAAATAAAAAACCTTTATTACATTAATACAAAACAAACAATATTAAAAAAAAAAATGATAGAAACTAAAAGATTAAAAATTGTAAATATAAGACTAAAAAGATCTATCTTATATTATTAAGATTAAAAATAATTTTAAAAAATAAATATATGGACTAAAATCGCTTACTTTAAATTATAAAGACTAAAAAATAAAATAAATAAAATTATAGAAACTAAAAAGAATATTTTAACCTAAAATTAATATATTTATAGGGTTTATACATGTAGAATGCTCAAATTAAATGTATATAAACGTTTATACATGTAGAATGCTCATTTAGGGATGTGGAGATTGTCGATCAGCAGTTGAAATTTTGTAAGTTTGTTATATGACATTTGACAAATAACACTTGGTTTGGTTTTCTATCTAAGAATTTCGGTCTCTCTATTTTTGGCAAAATATTACAAACTACAAAGAATGACAAATCAACGAAAAATTGGAAACCACCGGAGTCAATCTAGTGATAAGTTGTTATAATTTTTAGATTCAAATGAATAAAAAATAACAAATCTATGATGCATTAAATTGCAACTATTGTGGAAGCACTCTATAAGCTTGTGAAATGCTCCCATTTGGCACAAGGAAAAAATTCTATTACTTTTGTTGCTTTTCAATACTTCATTATGACTTATATATATAAAAAATGCTTAAATATTTTGAATTAAAATATAAACAAATTTTGATTAAGTAAATGTTATTTAATGTTCTTAATATATATATATTTAAGATAATAAGTGAGAGTATATATATCTATTAACTATTATTCTATTATAGGTGTAGTTAAGAATATTTTAGTAAATATAGTGTATATTTTATGTGAAATTAAAAAAATTAAATATATTTAATTATTTTTCTTAATCTGTGTGAAATTAATTTTTTTATACATAGACCAAGAGAGAGTATTTGTTTAACATAAATTAAGAAACCTAATATATTTTCAGTTTTTAATAAAATGATTTTGATCTTTTCTATTATATACTCCTTTTATTTTCTTCTTTATATTAAATGTATATTAATTATTAATTATTAATATATAAATTAATGAAAAGTTAAATAGAATATAAGGATATAAATATATTAAATTTATTAATGTTGTCTTGAAGTTTAAAAATGTTACATAAATAAAATTATTTTAAAAAATCGATAATTAAAAAGAGTGAGAGAAGTAACTCAAGTCCTGGTTTCTTGTCATTAGAGGACTCTGACGTGGTAACATGAGTTGCTTGAAGAAGAGAGAGTTGCTTCCTCAAGCAACCGTTCCTTACCAGATTTCAAGCAAATCTTATTGAACATATTTGGGAACGTTTCAGAAATAATAATGATGAAAATTAATTTCGTATAATATTTATGTATTTACTATTGCTTTATTTTATTTTTAATATCTACTTATTGTGTATTTTTTCTCGTAATTTATTTTCTTGCATTATAGTGTAATTATCTTTTTTAATAAAAATTTAAATTTAGTTCATAAATAACAATATAAAAAAAAAACAAAAACAAAAATAAAAATCAAAAACGAAAAAAAAAAAAAAACAAAATATGGAGTTGAGATTCAGTGCAATGTTTTCTAACTTTGAGAAACTGAAGGTGAGAAATCGGTTCTTCCTTAACCGATTTCTCACCTTAAACAGTAAATTGGTCATTTTGGTAAATAAAATGGAGGTGAGGTTATTCAGAAAAATAAAAAAAAAATTTGATATATTAAAAAAAAAAGTCGTACAGAATCTAGTTATTATTCTGAAAAAAAAAATTAAAAAAATGTAGTTAATTTTAAAGACTAAAATGTGCACTCAATAAAAACCCTAAACCCTAACTCGCATCGCAGTCGCAGCATTCTGTGTTGTTTCGAATACTCGTCAATTGTTGGGCTTCTGAGTGTTCCAGAGGTAACTTGTTATTCTCCCTCTCCTCAACCCATCTTTAGGGTTTTCTTCGCTCAGATTCTTAAAATAAAGCTTTCTGATTTCTATCTTATACTTTGTGTTTTTAAGTTTCTGGACTTTCATATCAGCAATATAAATTTGTGTCATATCTCCTTAATTGAATGAACTTTCAGCTTTTTTGCCATACGAGCGATTGGAGTAGCGTTTGATACAGGACATGGGTGTCTAAGGAGTAATTTAATTGCATATAGTGGCTGTGCTACAACTTCTGTCTTGTTGCATCCTTGCTAGGTTGGCTGCTTGGCTTTCGTTGTTTGGTTGAGTTTGTTTCTTCTGTTAAACATATCATTACTACATTTCAAAGTGTTTCATTGTTCTAATTTTAAACTATGGACAACCTCGGGCAATCTAATTTGTTGCTTTGCATGTGTTGAGGGTCGTTATAAGGGTTGATTGTACTGGCCTTAATAAGAGTATACATCTTAATGATTGTGAAGGTTTAGGGTATAGTCCTTCTATATTCATATGCATCTTATTTACTTTTGTTTTTCCTCTCCTCCTTAGATGATTTTCTGTAGCAAATTTGATAAATTGTCTCCAGTGAAACCCAAGGAATGATTAGCAAGTAACAGTCTTGATATGTGACGTTGTGAAAATTGCTTAAATTATTACTTGAATGTTTTCACTTCTAACTAGTCTTGATAAATTTTCTGACATGTTTCCACCCCTTGGTGAGATGTTCTTCTCCTGTTTGATCTTGAAGTGTTTTTTGTTTACAAGTTTTATTATGAAATGCTTCTTTGATGTTTTCTTTTTCAGAATCATGAGTAACTGTTTTCATTTCTGTTGATAAATAAAATGAAATATTTTTTCCTGTATAGTCTATTTTACATGAGTGTCTGAGGTGTATTCTTCTGCTTGCTTTGCAGGAGTCTTTTTTGCAATTTTAATCATGACTTTGTTGGAAGTAATTAAGAACGCGTCAGTCGATTCAAGATCACGTCATTTACCATTGGAATACCCATTTGTTCTGGACTCAGATAGTATCTTACATAAGTTAAAGCCTAAAATTAAAGATATAAATTCATCAGCCCTCATAAAACCCCTTATTAGGTGGAAAATTCCGAAAGCCGATGCTAAGCTCATTAAGATTAACAAAATATTCTTTGATACTAGGCGCAAGCATGTTAAGAATTTGGATAAGGCAAGGTTTATGAGTAGTTTGTTTTCCCATCTAGAAAGCATCAGGCGTGAAGTAGGGGTTTTGATTGATGTTGATCCAGGCAGGAGTGATTTTATTAGGATTTTGATCGATAAGCTTGGAGTTTTCATGGGTAAAGATGTTGCTGGCCTGCTTTTGGATGCGAGTGTTTCTTTGAGGCTTTCGGAAGTGGTTGAGGCTTTGGTGGTTAATGATATTATTGAGCATTCTTGTTATTCCAACCTGGTTAACAAGTTGGTGGAAAGAAATATGTCTGTTTTGCTCTGTTTATGCATTAAGCGTGCTTTTCATCTCGGTTCATCAGAAATACTCACTATTTTGAGGTATTTTCTTTCTCCATCCAAAAGTGCTTGTGAAAGTATGGTAACTGTGAAGAAGGAGTGGGAGAGCCAAGCTCTGTTAGCCATTGAGCAATCAAGTGATACCAGCCGTAAGAGGAAGCACTTGCTTATGGCAAAGGAGGCTTCCATTTTGCTTATGATGGCATATGATGGTTTTTCTGCATCTGAGACTTGTTTGCATTATCTGATTGCATCATCCAACATCAATGATGTGATGCTATCCCCTTCATTCAGCAAGTTGAATGACAGAGAGTTAATAAATTTGATTCGTTATTTAACCAAGTGGTTGAAGAAATATCAGAGGTTTCCTCAAGCAAGACCATGTCCAGAAGCTTCATCAGTTTTGCATTTGGAGGCTTGCGATTGGGTTCCTAAACTTGAGGATGTTATAAAATGTCTCGGCTTAGTGCTTGATGAGAATTTTTCTTCATTGGTGTTACTTCCACAGTTTCATGAGGAGCTGAGATCGATTGAAGTAGTGGTTAGTAGCTTAACTGCTGAAGCCAAATTTTGTCACTTGATGGCTGACGTGGTGGTCAAACTAAAGATCGAAGTAAAGGGTGGAAATAATTAAGTCCATTCTGCAGATTCATTTTGATGTGATTTGCATTTTAGCTAATGATGTACTCACCCACCCTTCTGAAGTACCTTTGTAATTTTAATATCATTATATAACCTATTTTTGAGACACAATGTTGGTCATTGTATGCATTGCTTTATGTGTTGCATCAGAACAGTTTTCTTGTGATCCATAATATTTTTTATGCCATTTTACACATTATAGTCCCATGTTAAATTTGTACGGTCAATTAAGTTGCCTTTATGACTCCCGAGAGGAGTTTGAGTGTTGTTGCCTCGGCACGGCGAGGCAAGGCAGGGAGATTACATTTACATTTCGAACAAATATGAAATTAAAATTCTAAATTGAATTGGATTTTTTTTTTTAAAGACATTGGCTACTGTTTTCTATAAAAAATCAATTCAATTTAGAGTGGTAAGCGATAATACATATTAATTAAATTAGTTCAAATTTAAGATAATAAAGTAAAGAAAACTAGAATGACTTATATTATCAAATGGGTCTGGTCTGTTGTGTCACTTGGGAGCATAAATGGGTTTAGTGAATCGAGTCATGAGTTGTAAAGTCCAGTCAGGGTTGAATTCGCATAGATAATAATAAGTGGAAAAAAGACATGAAGCTAATGTGAATTTTTTAAAAAGTAAAAATAATAAGAAAATATAATAGTAAGTGACTAATTGAAAACATAAATGGTTATCAAGTGTATATTATAAAAAAATGGAAAAAATCTCAGTTATAAATATTGAATTGATCTTTATAGTAGTGCAAATTTTACTAGTGAGTTCTTATATTTTAAAAAATATTATTTTTAATTTTTATGCAAGCATTTTCAGTACCTTTTTTAATTTCTACCGTTTTAAAAAATTAATATCATTAATGTATGATGATGTGACACAAATGTGATGTTAACATTTGTTAGATTTTACATTTTAGTCCTTACACTTATACAGAAATAAAAGACTCAATTACTTAATATAATTAAAAAAATTAGTTAATTTTGTTTATAATAATTACTTTTATATAACTTCTCTTTTATAATTAATATTTATATTCTTTAAAGAATTTATAATTAATGACGAGAACACACTTTAATGAGAGTATTTTAGTCTAAAAATAATTAATATATGAGATAATATGAACTCGGTTTTATATAAAAGAACAAATAATTATTTTAATTTAAATTTTATAAATAAAAATATAATATAATATTTTTACATTTTGTTCTATATACTTATATAACCTTTATTTTTTAGTTAATTATTCAGAAACTACTTATTTTGTGTTATAAGAATAGCTATTTTTTTAGTTTTTATTAACACCTTTTTCTTCTTCCTTTTACCTTATAATTTTTTTTTTGAAAATTATTGACTAATTTTTATTAATCTTAAATGGTAGAGTGTCGAGATAAAATAAGGGAAAAAAAAAGGAATGAAAAGGAGAAAGAAGAAAAAGGTGTTGCTAATGAGTAAAAGGTTTAGTCATTATCTTAAATACTAAACTAAAATAAATAATTTTTAAGTGGGTGAAAATTGTTAAAAGAAAAAACCAAAATATATAAATTAATGTTAAATACAATGTATCTCCTCATTGCACTATTTATTGTTAACGGAACTTGACTTTTTTCTCGGTAGCAACTAAACAAAACTTAAAAGTACTTGTATAGAAATTAAAATGAATCATTATCAAGCACATAGACTAAAAGATAGAATTTGAACAATTATGGAACCAAACATATGAAATAAGTAATAAAATTAGGTTAAAGATATAATTTAGTTTCTATATATATTACATATTCTCAATTTAGTTCTTATACATAAAAAATTATTAAATGTCTTTATATGTATAAATATTACTAATTTAATTCTTATCTCTATTAAATTTTTTTGTGTATTTTTAATTTGATGTTTATATATGATGTGAATCAATCGGTTATAAGTAAGACGTCACAAATACGATTATTTGATAAGTCAAGAAAGATCGCCACAAGAATTGGAGGATTCTTGATAAGATTAGTTGATGCAAGGAAGAACTCTAGCAAAGCTATAACTCACAAAAAAAATGTAATCTGAATAATCTATCCCTTTTCTCAATTTCCAAAATGTTTAATACAACTTTACTTTGAGTTTGTTTCATTTGGAATTAAATAAAGAAAAATTAAAATACTAGTATCCCAATTTGATGAAGGCATTATAAGCTTAAGGTTTTGGGATCAAATCTTGAAATGTAGCCTTTTACAAAACAAAACTAACACAACTTTAAAACTTAAGACATAAAAAGATAATAATAATAAAATAAAAACTAAATCTTCCGGTTGGCCTCCTAGCTCTCCAAGCAAGCTATGCATGTAATAAGTTTAGTCTCCTCTTGAATTTTTTTAAGCATCTCTCTAGTCATAGGTCCACCTAAAATTTAAATTGGATCTTGATCTTTATCGTAGACTTGGACCTTTTGATCATGGATCTTTTGAATTTAAACTTTTATGTAGATATCAATATATATAATATATATAGTACATTCTTAACTTAATAAAGACTTAAATTAAGGATTCTTATATATAAAGAATCAATTAAGAATTCGTCAGATAGATAGAAACCAAATTAAGGACATGATATGTGTAGGTGTATTAAATTAAGAATACGTGTGAATGAGTTAAGAATTCATGCATGAGGGCAATCCAATAGTGTTTGCAAGTATATATGGACCAGATTAATAAACTTTTGTGTATTGAGCATCACGACACACATAAAAATTAAAAAAAAAATATTTAATCATAAAATTGTTAGTTTATAACCTAATGGTTGAAAAGGAAAGGATTGAGATAAAAGTGGAATGGAATGCATAAGATTTTAGGGTGAATGAGATTATTACCTTACCTGATCCAAAATGCAGAGTGTGAATTGAGGGTTTAACCGAGAATTAGCGGTTAAGGCGGTGGCAATTGGAAGAGGTGTCTCCATCTTCATCTCCATCTCCATCTCCGTCTGGTGTAGTAGTAGCAGCAGCAGTAGGGTTCCAGCTTCCAAGAATGGATCGCCAATGGCGTCCTTCCCCTCCGCCAATCCAACCCAATCTCTGCCCTACCTGCTTCCTCTCACACTTCCCATTTTGCCCTCCACCACCCCACCCTTTCCCTTACAAGAGACCCCGAATCGACGACAATTTCTCCGACGACCAACGCCGATTGAAGCTGATTCGCGATCACGGCACCAACCCCCCTCAACCCCACCACACCCACACCGCCTTCCCTCCCCACAATGCTCATTTCAGATCTTCCCCCCATCCATCGCACCACTATCCCCATCCCTACCCCTACCCCTTTTCCGATAACATCGACGCTTCCAGATTCTTCAGGCCTCCACCTCCGCCTCCGCCTCCGCCTCCGCCTCCACCTCCTCCCCCTCTCCCTTCTTCTCCGCCGCCACCTCTTCCCATGGAACCACCCATCAACCAGTTCAAAACCTACTTTTCCCCACCCTCTCTTTTCCCCGTTCCCGTTAGTTCCTCTCCTTCGTCCTTTTCGCAGCCTCCCGAGCCCTATTATCACGCTAAACCACCCCTTCCGGAGTATCCCATTCCCACCGTTTTTCCTTCCGAGGTACGCTTCTCATTTCTCTTCATCTCTAGCTTTCACTTCTTGCGCTGAGTGTTTCTTCTTTTCAGCAGGAACCCTCG